ATGCCAGTGGGCCTGAGCGTTTCCTCTTGCAGTCAGACGGTCATCTGCGTCCCTAACTGCACGTGGCGCAGTTACAAAGCAGAGGTCCACTTCGAGCCCCGCAACAAGCCCCAGCGTTTCACCAGCACCACCATCGTCTACCCGAAGCACGCCAAGACTGTGTACACCACCACCCTGGATTACAACTGCCGCAAGTCCATGCGACGGTTCCTCTCCAGCGTGGAGCTGGAAACCGCCGAGTACCTCGGGAACGACTGCGTCCTGGACGGCTGCTGACCGCCAGCCGCTCCCTCGCCGCCATCCGTCCCAGCCCCACCTAACGTCCTGCCCGTACCTTTGCAGTCAGGTGAAGGGAACCTTACCTGTCGCCACCTCTTGCTCAGCTCTTAATAATTTCTGCTTTAAGCACCAGAAAGGCCTGAATGCAGTTTTCTGTGGGGACGTTAACTTTGTAAGGAACTTGTTTCTTCACCTTTAAGGTCGTGGGTTCCCTTCCCTACCCCGCCCCGCAGTGCAGTAGTCAGATGAAAATAAGGGGAAGTATTTTCCCAAATAAAAAACTACAGGTGAGAAAGAATGTGGAATAGTGTCTGGCAGGTGGAAGTGCATTTGATGCTTTGTGGGGATGTGCAAAAATAAGGGCAGTTCACTCTCTTGGAGAAAATCTACCGTGTTGTTTCATTATATATAGACAGAGCTGCCATGCATTTTGTTTTAGATCATGGGGCTCTTTCCTCCAGATGAACAATCTCTGGAATTTGCTGGGGAAAAAACAGCATAAAATCTGGAATTCTGTTTTTAACAGATACAAAAACCTTATCTATGGCATTCATGTCTGGTTTGAAGGTGTGATTTGGGAAGAAGTGTAGAACAGGAGATAAACTGCTTTAGCAGCTCCAGGCAGCAGAGAAGGCATCAGGTAATTCTAGTCGTTTAGATGAATGGCACGATGCATCTTCTGTAATGACTTCTTGTTGTAATGACTTGTACAGCACTGCAGTCTGTGTAACATGCTGACATTTGTGTGCCTGTAATAGGACTTGTAATGAAGAATATCAGGCCAGAAATTATCCCTGTTTTGTTGGAAAGTCAGGTCTTGACAGTGTGGTGTTGGAAGAACGCCAGTGCTTGTTTTTTTTACCAATGCTATGCTGACATGTCTGCACTAAAGGAGTTGGAATTGGGAAAGTTTCAGGAAATGTGCAGTGTGTACAGGAAACTAGTGTGGCGGGGGAGATGCTGGGATCAGACATGAGATGCTGTCATGGTGGTGGTTGTAAAGGATTTCTTAGAAAGAGGTAAATGGTAACAAATCTCTGTCAAATTTTAATTGGGTAGCAAAATCCACAGCTGCAGCTCTGCTTCCCTGTTGAGGTTTTCATTGCAAAGGTCCACATCCCCTCTGGTACTCAGGATGTCACCGGGATTGGGTAGCATTTGCCTATCCGTAGGCTGCTGGATAACCCCGCCAGTCCCACAAGCAAGAGGCAGAAGTGGTTTGGGGCCAAAGGGAGTAACTTCAGATACTAAGAAAGCCTACCCAGATGTTATGTGCATTAGTTTATGGTGAGTTTGATGGAAAAAAAAGGGGGGGAGGGGGAGATTTATTAGTTTACCCAGATATTTCTTCTATGTTCACAGAGAACAGTGTAGTATGGAGAGCGTCTGCTTCTGGTTGTGTGCCTCGTGTTGGTGGTGAGGGTGGTGTAGCAGCTCAGAGGATTTACTCAGCTGCCCGTGGCTATTTCAAGGATTCCAGAACTCCCCTGAGGTGCAGGTCACCTTCTGGTGCAATGTCAGCTCTGTACCTGCTTTTAACAAGGATTTAGTGCATAGACCAAGGGTGAATTTTGTCTGCGGTGAGTTAAAAACTCAGGAGCCTGTTCTTGAGCTGTACTTAGCGCATGTATGTGCACGTGGGGTGAATGGTGTGGAAGCATACTGTAGTGTGAACTGAAATAATTTGGGAGCCTAAAAATGCAGCAAGAAGGCAGGCTTGAGTTTGAATGGTTTGTTTTTTTCTTTTGTTGTTGTTGTTTTGTTTTTTACTTATTTATTAGCTCAGAACAGAATGTCCTTAATCTTTGGTACTTGCCTCAGAAAACCAGATCCAAAAACAATTCCAGGGTGACACAGGATGCCAAATTCAGGTAGGCTTTGCTCCAAAACTGTTAAGAGCAGCATGGTCTTGTCATTAAATGTTCTGGTTTCAGACTACAGCGTTTAGGGGATGTGTCTTTAGTCCACATCATGATTGTCCCTTAAACATTGCCCCAAGATGCACTTGTGTAAGAGAAGGCACAACCCAACCTGCAAGCGTGTGGGTTTCAAACGGACAAAACTGCTTGTTGGGAAAGCTATCGCAACATTGCTCGCTTTGTGGTTTCACATACCTTGCTCCTGAAATGTGGTGCTGGCCACGGTTGGACACAGGACCCAGGAAGAACACGGACCCTGGATTGCTCTGACAATGTTCTTCCAATGAATTTGTGTGCAGGAGATCTGAGAGAAGATTATTTTAAGTTGTAATCATTAATTATTCCTAGTTAAATTAGAAATGAAATTACCCTTACAGTATGGCTTTAGGATAAAACACATGATTTTTATAAAGCAAACTTAATTACGTGCTTTTTAAGATATTTTAACTGGTAGAGATACCTTTTAAATTATTTATGTTCCAACATTTGCAAAGCTCTGATTAGCTCTGTGCAAGTGTTCTGATGTCTGTGAAGTTTACTGTCTTCCCACTCTAATTTTCAAATTGTCTTTTACTTTACTGGTAATAAATGATCTGAAAACTGTAACAGAGGGAAGTCTCTTCATTTATTTTTTTCATTTAAAGCTTTTCAGTGTTTATTATGGTATTTACTTAGAAATAAATATGTAATATATCCTGCTGGTTCAACCTCCACTCTTGTTTCTCTTATATCATGTGCTACTTCTGTTACATATTCTAGGAAGGCATTTCCTATATAAACCATCTGTATTTAAAAATTACAAATGTAGTTTTTTCAGTTTAGTAAGACTTGGAAAAAGTGCTTTGAGGACAGCTGAAAATCCCCTCTAGTATGTGAGTCTTTTATCTGGTACAGTTTTATTTCCAAAGACAGTTTCTGGTATGGGTTTCAGCATATCCTACAAGTGAAAGCAGTTGTCCTTTTTAAATATAACAAGTATTTAACTAGATAGGAATTTCTTGTTCATTTTGAATTAAAGTGTAGATGCTCAAATGCTATATTAGTAAATACAGCATAAAAATAAGACTAGAATGTGTTATGCATTAAACTTCATAAAAACAAAATAGATGGTGACAAACTTGTTTTGAGAGAAATGCAGTGGTGGTTTTTTGGACACTAAAACTGTTGTTTAAATCTTTCTAAATTAGCAGGCATGCTCATTTTGTTGGTATCACTGGCAGAGTAGAAATAGATGCATTAGAATATCAGATAAATCATAATAACTTGTGTTTTTTTGTTTATTTTTTATTGTTCATCTGGTTATCTGCTTGCAAAAGGTCCAGATTTGCATGTAATGACATTATTGGGATCTAGGAAGCTTTGAAGCTTTCCTGAACCATTCCCCTGCTCCTGCAAAAGTCTGTACAAGCATTTGCACATCATGCATTGTTTAAAGTGCAAAACAGCCTAAAAAATATATTAACATCACTTGCATTCAAACATCACGCATCCGAAGAGACATTATGAAAAGGTTTAAAAATCAGAGTGGTATCTTTTAGGAGGGCTTCAGAAAACTGGAAAGCTTTCATATGTGCCATCTAACTTCCAAATACTTCCTCCTTTAGTGTGCTCTTGGCTATTGATCTTAACATTATAGTAGCACTGGGTATGATAGCTGTTGCTTTACTATGAGAAGTTGAAGTAGGTGGGTACAAGACACACTGCTTCCTGATGAGTTTAATTCACGTTGGCCAGATGGTTCTCAAGTTACGTGCAGTGATGAGGATAAACCCGTCTTCAGAGATCTGTGCCATTTTCTTTGTATATGCCATGCTTCAGAATGTCAAATCTGGGGGCCTTTTCAGTCAATTTCTGATTTCTGTAACAAAGGACTGTGTTTAACAATTAGCCCTCAAGACAGGAGACAAGGGCTGGCTGGATTCTACTCCCAAACTCCACAGCTTGCTCAGTTTCAAATACTCAGTAAATTTGTGTACCTGCAGATGATTTCAGCCTTCAAACACGGTAACAGGTCATTCAGCTGCTCATGCTCAATTTCCCTGCCTGCCACAAGGACTGTGCTTGTTAATTTTGCAATGTGTCTGAATACCTGAAAAGCTCAGGTGTCATGCAAGGAGCATTGCTTTGACACTAACAAATAGCAGTGACTAGTGATCCTGCAAGATGAATAGGCAGAAAGAAGCACTTTTGAATTGTTGGAGTAGCCTGAGCTGCATGTGTTTTAGCAAGCAGGTTGCTTTGTTTGTTTTTAAAATGCAAATGTTCTGTTCTCCATGCAGACACAAAACATCGAGCAATCAACGCCGAACTACAGAGCTTGTTGAGAGATTTTCTTGACAGCCCTGATTGCAGCTTGGAGACCGTTGGCTTGTTCGGTATTCAGGACAAGCTCATGTTTGCTCCCCTGGAAAATAACTGCAGCAATCTTCACATTCTGGGTGATCGCTGCTTGTGCACGAAGCCCTGACATGAAGTAATGGGGAATGCCTGACAGCTGGGCAAGGCTCAGCAGGGAAATGTTGCTGGATATACAACCCGTACCGTTTTCTCCTGTTCACCTTGTAGATTTGCAGCCTTTCTTCCTCTGCTGCGGGGTCCTCAAGAATCCCATCCCATCGAAGACTTTCGTTAAGCTGAGCAGAAAGACCTAGATCTGTTTGACCAGAGTCCAGAATGGTGGAAGTTGATGCTAAAACTTTGTTTGCTTCTGCCTCCATCTGAATCCCTTTGGCGTAGTTTTGGGCTGAGTCAGGGTTCCTCCCATCACTTATGATTTCAGGCGGTGCAGCAGAGCGAGCCTTCTGCTTTTGGCGTTTGTGGTGGTGTTTACCTGTCAATGTGGTAAGAAGCAAAAATTTGTAAGTCATCACTGAGGCTTTTCTGCTTTTTTTATTGTAATGAGGATGAGGAGGTAAGTGCTTGCTGTGCCCTGTGCATGCCCAGTAATAAGGAACTAAAAATACTAACAGCCTAAAAGCTTTCTTTCAATTGGGAAATATATTTATATATACGATTGGCTAACCTAACAATTCTCTCACTTGTCAGATGTGTTTATTGAGGCCGTTAATGCATTAATAGCACTTCTGCACTGGCATGGAGTTCACTGTGCTTACTGAACCTGATTTATGCAGGAAATTCAATCTTGGTTGCCAGGGATTTTTCCAAAGCTGTCATCCATTCATAGGACAAGCAATGTAATTTTTTTAGTACCATTTCTGGAAGCTTTGAGCCACCAGAGGGGCACAGCCATGCTGCTGCTGAACGCAGGCCCATGGGATGGTGGACGTTGGAGTTGCTCTGCAGCTACCAACAGAAAACCACTGTTATTTACAGCATTTTCAGCAGTTCTTGAAACTTCTTGACAGATGTCGTATGCCTCCTACTGTTTATGCTGTGCAGTTACATGTACTCAGTCTTTTAGTTGTAGGTGTGTGGGTATGCATGCACAGAGCTATACATGAAGCTGCATGGCTGAACTACAAGCCCTGCACAGGCACTGGAGCGCCGAGAGATGTCGAGTGCCACAGGTGGCTCTGAGGGAGCGCTGTGGCTCTTCTCCCCACGTACCCTTCCCCTGACCCAGCTCACCTGCCCGCATGGCAGCAGTGCTCCGGCTTGGTGCTGGTGATGGCTTTGCCCCTGGGGGCTGCGGGCAGCCCCTGGCCCCCCGCCGCCTGCCCTTGCTGCCCTCTCGTCCGATGGTTGCTGCAGGAGCCCCAGCGTGGCCCCGTGCCACTGCCCCCGAGCCTGCTGGGGAGGGAAAGAGGAGGGAGAGTCAGTGACCATGGCATTCCCCCTTCTCCGTGACACCCTCCACCTCCCCTCAGCACTTTCCCCAACATCCCCCTGAGGTTTTACCCCCGTCTCCCTTCCCTCCTCTCATGCCTTCCCTCTCCATTTCCCCTCAGGTATTACCGCTCCATCTCCCCTTCCCTCAGTGGCTCCCTCCTCTCAGTGCTCTCCCTCTCCCTTTCCCCTCAGCACCTTCCCTTTCTCCTCACCTGCCGCCTCCTCTCCTCCTCTGGGCACCTTCCCCTCCATCTCACTGGGCCCTTCCCCTTCCCCTCCGCTGCCTCAGCGAGGTCTCCAGGGCAGCCATGGCGCGGGGGCCAGCCCGGGCCTGCCCGCTTGGCCAGGGCCCAGCGCTGGCTGCGATCACTGCGTCCCCCTGTGCCTGGCTGTGGCAGAAAGCCCAGGCTTCCCTGAGGTACCGCAGCCTTCGCCATGAAGTCCTGAAGGGAAATTGCCCCTTCAACCTCTCTGCCTAGCCCACCAAGCAGGGCGATGGCGGTGCTCCTTGGATGGCTGCTGAGGGGAACAGAGCTCGGCTCGGCACAACACGCGGCTCTCCTGCCACTCTGCGAGCCTGTTGTGAGGTGAGCTGAGTTGTTAACAGCCTCGCTGGGGAGATGAGAGCACTTAATTGGGAGGTGAGCCCGGATGAAAAGCACTGGCGGGCTCTTTTGCAGCAGTCACTGAAGTAATGCACCGCCTTCTTTGTCCTCCTGCCCCTGGGTATAATGGGAGGTTTAGTTCTGGTTTTGTTGCCTTCCCCCCTTTCCTCTCTGCCTCTTCCCTTCTCTCCTTCTGATCTATTTAGATGTGAAATTTGGCAGATGCTTGCAGCTGCATTCAGACAGGTTGTGATGAAATCGGCCTCCCAGGAGGCTGCTCCCATGGCGGCTCCGCGGGCTGCAGGCAGCACTTCTCCGACTGCAGCTAATGGTCTGATTTCAAAGTGTCAACAGCAGGGATTTTGCAGTGATGGTTATTACTAATGCTGTACAGCAGCCAGCAGGTCTCCAGAGCGTGCGTGCGGATGAAAGGGATGGTGACACGGGGCAGAAAGGCGAGGCAAACAGGAACGGCAGTGATGGGATGTAAATAATTCATCCGGGCTGAAAAGTGAGTGTAATATTTTTGCAGGCTGAGAGAAGGGGATTACTTGTTGGTAAGGGTGGCTGTCCTTCATTTTATTATGCCAAAATCTGACTTTCCAGCCAAATTAGAGCCCAGTGGTCATGGCTGGCATGGTCCACACAGAAGAAGACTCATCTGATATCAGGCATGTCGGGCAGGCAGGACCATCAGCAGCGTTCCCTGCTTAATCTGCCCCTGCTGAGGCTGGCTGAGAGGCAGAGGGGTGGCGAGGTGCTCTCCAGCAGCAGGTAAGTGTATTCTGAAGGTGCACTGTCCCCAGGCAAATCCCACACCCCCTTACTCCTCTCTGTGCCTTTCCTCTTCCTTCCCCTTTTCTGTTCAAGCCAGGCTCCGGTCTTAGTGGGTGGGCACGCAATTCATATGAAAAATACGAAGAACAAACTTTCCACTGTCCTCTGAGAGTTTCACTGTGTCTTGGAGGCATATATATTTTAAAAGGAAATACTGCATGATTTCATAAGATAAAGTCCAATTTGCAACACTTGCCAGTAAGTAATTGTGTTAAAGCAGTAGAGCTGATCTGTAGGTGTAAGGCTTGTGAGATTTATCTTTCAGTTTGCTTGAATATTCTCACTGTCCTCTTTGGTTTTAGCTTGCCCATATTGTGAGTGTTACCTGAAGTGAAGGCAGTGCTGTACTTGTTTCCTCAGGTGAGACAGGGCCGTTACGATGACCCCAGTTTGATGCCAAACCTGGGTAATGCACCAGGCCGGTGCCTCTGAGGGGAGAAGTGTGAGCATGCCCTATATCCTGACTGGAAAAGTTAGTCATTCTTTAAGCAAGTCTATAGATCCTCACAGATGTAGTGTATATTTTATTAGGACATAAATAAATGCTTAAAACCCCAATAAGCATCATTTTGTAATGCGCTGTAATGACCAAGACAAACCTCCTGCTGCGGCTGCTGGGGTGAACATGGAAGTCTTCTTGTGGAATATTAAAGCTGATGTTGTGAACTTACCTTGAACAGGGAAATGAGAATTAGAATTGTAATATGTTCATGCAGGTGAAAAAAAAAAACTGGATCAGAGTGGGGAATTTGTCTTCAAAATGGGTAAAGAAGTACCTTAATTTGCTATGAAGCATCAGTATTTTTTAATCTTTCCCTTTGTCTTAAATATTCTTGAACAGGTGTGTTCTATAGACTTTTTTTTTTATTTGCCAGATTAGTCACTGAATCGTTGACCTTTTTGCTTAGGAATAATAATTAGAGGGACAAGTACAAATTGAATTGCTGAGGACTGAATAATTACAATCAGAGTAACAGCAGCTTGGAAAAAAAAAATAAATCCTTGGCTCCTTGCTGTGAATTGCAAAGCAGCTAAACAGGGCTGGAGTAGTCAGGGTGATGAGAAAGGGAGCACCAAATGTCCCCTGAGTGTGACACCTCCTGGCTGCCTGTCCCCAGGAGGTGGCCTTTCAGAGGTGAGCAATCAGCTGGTTTGGCCTTGGGTTGCCCTGGGTCTTTTGAGCCCGCCCGAGGGTTGCAGGGGAAGGTGCCAGTGCTGGCCAGCATCAGCTGGGACATCTGCAGTGCTCTGACAGCATCGCTGACAGCCCTGCAGGAGCAGCTTGCTGCCCACTACAGTCCTGGTCGTGTGTACAGCTAAAACCTTTGGCAGCTGTGGGCTGGTGAATAATTCAGTGAAACCCATCATCGATAAAAGAGAGATTTTGAAGGGTTCCTTGGGTGGAATTGGAAGTGCTGGCTTTCTGAGAGATGAGTGTATTAAAAATTGACTTCGTGCTATCAAGATAAAACTCATATTTAGCCTTTCTAAATTTTTTATGCAGTGTCATATTTTTTCCCTGTGACTTGCAGCTCTCAAGGCCCAGCTTTGCGGTCGGACTCTGAAGCATCCGTGGTTCTGCGGGGATCTCGACAAGCTGATTTGACAGCAGAATGGATACAGGCTCTGCGATGTGTGTCGTTTCCTGTGCCTATTGTTCTTGCCAGTACGGCTTGCTAAATAAGGTAATTTATCTTTTTCCTGAAGTTGGCTGAACCGTGTGTTTAATTTATTTATGTTATTGACTGTGAGGAGGAGTACCCTGGTGTGAAACGTCATCTTCAAACGCTTTCTTCCATGGAAATACAGGCTCTATATTAATGCAAACACTGCTTCCTCTAATATATTTTTCAGCGTTTGCCTAACCCCAAAAGAAAGCAAAGCATATACTCAGACTTGAGCTTGATTTACGTAAAAGTTAATTTAGGTTGCCTAAGCTTATTCCATGAGGCACACACAGAGGGATGTGGGGGAGGCTTGCAGGGCCGCTGGGCTTTTTACGAGCAGGCAGTAAAAGCACGGACTGAAGATTTATTTTTTCTTCTTTTTTTCTTTCTCTGGCAGTAATTAGCATTTGTGAGAGTCTTCAGAATGTGAGGTGAGACAAGTTTTACAGTGATGAACTATGAGGGAGTGGGCTTGAAGCAGCTGTGGAGAGCAGGAGAGCCATGCAGGTCCCTGCGTGCTAAGGTGAGAGGAGCCGCCCGGCTCACCCCATCCTGCCCTGTGTCCGTGCCATCCTTCGAAGGGACCCAGCTTCTGATGACACGGGGAGACCTCTCGCAGCAGTCCTGGCAGGGAGGGAAAATGGAAACAACATCACTTTAACTCCCAGAGCCTAGGAAAGGGCCTGTCTTGTCTGTTATGGTGTGATCCCCCTCCAAGACATGGCAAGGAGCAGACCCCCAGCCATCACAGCAGTTCCTTACAAGCATCTCTGCCTGCTCTGGGGACACCTATTGCTCCACAGCCCCCCGGGCACTTCAGGGTTGCACAGAGCCACTCGAGCAGTGGGTCCCAAACCCCCGTCCTCCTGCCCTGACAGTGCTGTGGCTTCCAGATGGAGCAACTGCATGGTCCTCATGGCTGCATTTCCCCGTCACAGGGAAGACTGGAGGTGTTTAGATTGTTTCCCCAGTTGTAAATTTGGGAGCACCCGGCTTGAGTGAGCCCGCTGCAGGCAGCACAGCATTCAGTGGTGATTGGGGTTTTTCCCTGCACTAACCCTCAGCAGCAGCCTTGCACCTTCCTCCCAAAGCCACATTTTGCTGCTGGTCCCAGGCCACCTTCTGTAGCCTGTTGTTAGGGTCATGTGTGCAGATTTTGGCCCACAGTTCTTAAATTTGCTGAGTTTTGTTCATTATTATTATTATTATTATTGTTATTATTATTTAATATTAGTTGTTTGTTGGGTTTGCTGTTTTTTGGGGGGTTTGTTTTGCTTTTTGTTTTATTTTCTTTTTGTTGTGTTTGTGTGTGTGCTTTGTGATTTTTTGGTTTTTGTTTGTTTGGGTGGTTTTGTTTGTGTTTTCTGTGGCTTTGTTTTCGCGTGGGTTCTGCTTGGGGATTTTTGTGTGCCTGTGTGCGTTTTGTTTGCTTTTGTGTCTTGTTTTTTTGTTTGGGCATTCTGCGTGTGGCTGCGCGTTCGCGTGCGGTTTTGCATTTCCATTCTTTTTATTTACTTATTTATTTATTTTTTGTTCGCTTTCAGTGTTTGTTTCTTTCTATTTAGCTCTCGCCTTGTGGTTTTCCTCCTTGTACGTGTGTTTTTTTTTCCCCTTTCCCACCTTCTTCCCTTCCTCCCGCCCCCCCCCCGCTCCATCCCCAGTCCTTTTCTCTCCCCCCCGGGTAACTCAGCTGGGACCCACCCGGGTCCTTTCCCCGTTCGGGGCCGTGTCCGCGGGGTCTGTCCGGGGGCTGCGGCCGCCAGGGGGTGCCCGGCCGGCGGGGGGGGGCCGGTGCCGGGCGGTGCAGGTGGCTCCGCTTCCGCCGCGCCCGGGGGCGGCTCCGGGGCTCGGTGCGGGAGCGCAGCGGAGGCGCAGGTGGGTGCTGGGGGGAGAGGAGGAGGAGGAGGAGGAGGAGGAGGAGGAGGAAGAAGAGGAGGGCGGTGGGGCTCTGCCCCGTTCAGCCCCGCCGTGCCCTGCCCCAGAGCTCAGGGCAGGTGGCCCCGGGTGGCTGCTGGGGCTCAAGGTTCCCGGTGCCTTCCCACTGGGTAGCCCAGCAGCCTCTTTGGGAACACCGCAGACTCATTTTGGGAGCACCCCGCACCCCCTTTGGGAGCACCTCGCACCCCCTAGCACCCCCCAGGGCTCTCCGTTTGGAGGGTGCGGTGCTGGAAGCTCCCCAGCCAGGTGAAGCCAGCGTTAAGTGGCAGAGGCACAGGGGAAAGAAGCGAGTGGTGCTGGGCTGGACGTGCTCAACCTCATGGAGGTGGTGAGTCCTGGTGAGTCCTGGTGAGTCCTGGTGAGCTGGGCCGTGTGCCTGGCACGGAACAGCCATGTGGATCCATCCTGCAGCCCTTGGGTGGGTGCTCCCTGCGGTTCTGGGAGCGCTGCCGAGCACCTGGGAGCCCTGCTGCCTGCGGGGTGTTGGGGCTGCTGCAGCTCGGTCAAAGTCCACGGCTTCCTTCCTGCTCGTACCAGCAACAGGGCTGGACGTGGAGTCGCTGCTGCCGTGCCCACATGTGGCTCAAACGCCTCCCGGGATGCCTAAGGCTTTGGGGTGCTGAGAAAGGGATTGTCACCCTCCAGGTAGGATGGCTGCGCTGCGGCTCAGAGCTGTGCCCAAAGCAGGTTTTTGGCGAGGCTCCGCGTAGCAGCCGTCTCTCTGCCGGCCATGGAAGTGCTGTTCCTGGTTCACTTGAGGTTATAGCGGCGGAGCAGGCTGGCACGGGGTTCTCCTGCAAGGGATTCCTGGACAAATGCTGGCCTGCGCTCAGCATCTCCCTGCTCTGTCCAATTCTTTCTAAGAAACTTGATGCTCCTCTGGAGGCTGGGAGGTGCTGATTCCACCCTGCCAGCCACCCGCCACATAAGGCCTCCTGAGCTTTTTAACATATCAGAATAGCGAAAGGAGTCTTTCTAATTAGCCATTTAGATGCTAATTTGCTTCTCTGGAGGCCTACGCCAGATCAACCTGCCCCAGAAGGTGAGTCAGAGGGAGCAGAGCCTGCTGCCTTCATGAATTATTTATTCACTTGGTGCAGAGCACCTGCCTGGCTGGGGATCAGAAGGAACCGAGGCCAAAGTCTGGTAAATAAAGATACACCTTGGCAGGTGGAACAGCGCTGGCTTCCCTCCCCAGCGTTGCAGGGTGCTGGGGAGCCAGCAGACTGATTTGCTAGGGCAAAAACTGGTTCTTTATAGCTCACCATAGATCAAGTAGCTGTGCTAATAAGTGCCTCTCATTAATACGGGCTTGTTGGTACCGTATGTCGGTTTTCCTGTAGAGCTGATTTTATCTTCCCACTCAGAGGACTGGCATGGACCTCCAGGGCATTGTGTTTTATAATCTCTTTAACAAGCACCGTCTTAAAGCACTTAGGCTTCTTGCCACTGCTGCTAGGATTGTGAAGCAGCTCTGGTGCATGGGAACCTTCTTTTTTTCCCCAAAAAACGTCATCCCCACTTGCTCCTTTTCCCACTTAGCCTTACGTGCTAACAACACTTCTCTCCCTTTCCGTGTGCTGAGACTGGTTTGTGCTCATCTGAGCTGGGCCAGCCAGAACCCAAGAGATGGCCCTGAATGAGGTCTTCACTGTGTCACTGGCACTTGGATTGAGCCATCGCGATGGGACAGACTGGGAACAAGTGTCTCCGTGTGTTCCTTAAACGCTGTCCCTCAGCCTGCCAAGGCTTTGTGGTGCTTATTTGGACGCTGCGTGTTCTTTGTTGGCCCAAGCCGCAGAGGCATGAGTCAAGTCTGATCAGGTTGTGTTGCTCCAGCTGTCTCTCTCCCTTTCCAAAAGCAGGAGGGCGAGGGCTTCTTGGCTTCCTGATGAGCCCCAGGGAAGTGGCCGTGCCTGCAGCAGGCTCCTGGCTGCTGGGATGGCCGAGGGACTGCTGGATGTGGGCCTGAGTACAGCCCCGACTCGGGCTGGCTCTTGTACAGAGGCAACTCTGAGACTTCATCTGCCTTGAGAGTCACCTACGTGTCTTCTGCCACGCTCCTGCAGCCCCAGGGGTTGCTCTGTCCCCCTGGAAGAGCCACGTGCTTTGAAATACAGCAGTGGCACGAGGATCCTGAGCACACGAGGGGAAGACCAAGAGCCTTTCCCTCGCCTCCCGGGAGGCGCTGGGTTGCCCTTATCTCCCTCCGTCCCCGCTGATCCCCTGTCATAGCAACGAGAGCAAGCACTCGCTTAGTTGCTAAGGTTTCCCGGGGCTAATGGGGTCTGGTGTGCGGAGCAGAGAGTAATTACGCTGTGTCTTTGAGGGAGCAGCAGCTAAAAGGAAAACGAGGCCAGAACGGCACCTGATGCGAGCGGGGAGTCCTGGGGGAAGTGCAGCCCTTGGAGCAGGCGAGTTAATTACACCGGCACTGCTCGGCTTGGGGATCGGGAGCTCAGCTCTGGCCAACTGTGTAATTTTTATTTTTTTTAAATGAAGTATTTAAAAAAAAAAAAAGCCTAATTAATTTTCTATAAAAACAAATTAATACAGATGCGAGCTGCTTAGCTGAAATAACCAGGCAAGTGAAAGCTGGCTGGGGAGCTCCTTACGGGGCTGTGTAGGACATTTTTGTTGTTTTGGTTTTTTTTGTAGGGCTCCGAGGGATTCATGCTTCGTGGGCACCTGTAATCAGCCCAGCCGCAGGAGGGCTCGTGCAAGCTGTGCCTTCGCTGCCGTGAGGAGCTGGTGCCTGCTGCAGTGACTGCCTCAATGTCAACGGGACCCTTCGGTTTTTAGCCTTGGTGCAGTCAAGGTACTGTCAAAATGTGTTCGAGGTGGAGCGGGGAAGGGGCTCAGCGTAGCAAGACGGTACTGAAAGTGTACATGAGCTGGAAAAGCAAGTGGATAAATTTGGGACGGAAGAGTGTTAAGGATGTTAAATACGGAGCTACAGCCTGGCTCAGGGAGTGCATGATGCAGGCATCTCTGTTGGGAGGATGTTCTGGAAAAGTATCGCTGTGCTCTGCTCCATTCTTCTATTCTTCTCTAAGCATCTGCTCTTGGGGCTGGTCAGATAGCAGCCACCGTGCTCACTGAACCTTTGGCATGACCTGCCAAGGCTCCTCGCTGCTGTTCAGGTAAGGATGGGTTATGTTGAGGCTGTGAAAGGCTGGTTTTTCAGAAGGGCCTGAAGTGCTTTGACAGGGCTGTGTCTGCAGTACTGCCTTCTTCAGTGGGGGCTGTCTGGGGGAAAGGCCTCCTCCTGCACTGCCTTGTGGTCACCACGCAGGGCTGCAGGACCGAGCCACCAGCATGACCCTGCTGCTTTTCCCTCCTCTCAGACCTTGCCGGAAGATTTCCCCTCGCAGACTGAGGTCCTGCTGTCAGGCACCTTGTTCTCTGGCTGGTCCAGGTCTCGTCACGGAGGCAGCAGAAGCAGCTCTCTGTTAGAGCTGCAGGCAGAGCTGAGCTCAGCTACACGTCCCCGGGCCGCTCCTGGCTCACGGCAGGGCACTGCTCCTTCCCTGCCACGCTCCCCATCGCTCCTCTGCCAAGCACAGCCAGGTGGACTCGGGTTTAATGAGGTTTTGTTTCACATGGCTTCCTCCATCGCAGGAAAGGAGCGAACAGGTGGAGGGTTGTTAAAGCAGGTCATTTCGTACCAGCAAGACAAGGGCTCCCTCGTAGTTCTTAATTCGAGTAAAAAGCAGAGTCGTGCAGCAGGAAGGTTTCTGTCTGTACCGCTCGGTGCCTGCGCTGCCCCTCTATTCTGTATGTGGTGTACCTGTGGCAGTGCCAAGAGCTGTGGGTTTCTTCTGCTCTCTCTGCTGGAGACCGGCTGCTTCCCTGCTCTCTGCCTTGGGGAGAGGAGAGGAGGACAGGGAGGGGATGTTCGGGGAGGTGGGCGCTGACTGCAGTGTCTCTGAAAGGTAACACAGCGAGGGCTGGCTGCGAGGGGGCTGTTTGTTTCACCACAGCCCACAGAGATGACTCCTCAGCCTGCTGGGGTTTTGCTATCTCGGTGTTTCTGATGAGGCTGATTCCCCCGTACTTCTTGTCCTGTACAGAGATAAGAGGGAGGGTGCTTCATGTCTTCCTGCCATCAGTCCTGGGGCCGTGCAAGATGTTCCTTTCCCTCCAGCCCTGTTAGTGCTCCCGTTTCCACCCCAGCAGACCATGGCCTGCAGTCCTATGGCATTCTCGTTGCCTTCTCGGAGGTACCTTTGCAAACCACCCTGATCTTTTTCCAGAGGCAAAGGTGCAACGCCGTCTGCAATGCCAGGGTACATCAGAGGGAGCAGCAGATACTCGCTACCGCGGAAAGAAAATGCTCCTGTAAATATTTTAGGGAATAATCTCTCTGAAGACTGCTTGGGGATATGATGGATCTCCAGGCTGTTTTGTTTTCCCTCTCTCTTTGCAGATGCTGCTCAGGGAATGGTGGAGAACAGAAAGCGTATGCTCAGTAACAAGAGGCAAAAGAGCATGACATTGCTTGTTTTTGTTCAGTCATGCTGAGAAAAGCGCACTGTGGTATGAGGCTGGAGAATGTGGTTAGGTCTCTCCTGAGAAAAATGCTTAGCTGATGTGCTCTATTCTGACTTGCCTTCAGCTCTGGTAGAGCAGATAAAGCTCTGCAGAGGAGGGGTGGATGGATTCAGTGCTGTTGTCCATCCTGAAGGCACAGCTGCTGGCAAAGCAAACTCCTCTGCCCCGGCCACGCTGTGGGGCAGATTTCCAGCTCTGGGTTCTAGGATAAACATCCCACAGTTGCCAAGTGCTGGTCACGTCGGTCTGGCTGTATGCATTCAGCCTTGCCAGTGGCCATCAATTGCGTGGGCTGTGCTTTTCTTCAGGTGTGTGTGAGTGGGAGGGAGGAGAATGTGGTACAGCTGAGGAGTAATTTAATATATGCATTTGTGTGGGGGGTAAATGTGCATATAATCCTGTAACAACGCATCACAGGCTCGGAAAATCTCTGAAAAATCCCAAGTCGGCTGTGCTGTGTGAAATTTTAGCTTCTCTCTGCCTCTAACACTGGCCTGGGGGCAGGAGCCTCTGTGTTCCTTTACCATTAATGCTCGATGGCTCCCAGGTGTGTGAGCTGCCGTGGGACATGTGGGGACTGCATTCTGTCCCCGCCTGAGATCACAAAGGGGCTGACAAGAGCAGGAGATGTTCTAGTACGAAATGGAAATGCAGGCGTGTGTGAAAGCAAGGAAAGTATCTGGTAAATAGAAGATGCCAGAGTTCAAGGATTTCATCAAGGGATGATGCCTTTCAAGAGCGGTCCCCTTAGCTAATGTAGTAAATGTTTAAAAAACTGTGACAACTCTCTGTCTTTCCTGCCTTGACCTCTTTCTCTGCTGAACCTTCCTGTAGCGTGCCATCTCCTCCCTGCCTCGCTTTGCTGTAGTCAGGCCGAGCTGCTGGAGCCTTCACCTGATTTACACAGCTGTCCCCTGCACTGAAAGAAGTCTGTGCCTCGCCTGGAATTCCTCCTCCTCCCTCCTGCCTGGTGGAAGAGCTGGGTTTTCAGGCTCTCCAGAAGCTGGATGGTTGGAGAGGAGGCTGCCGGGTTATGGTTTGCAGCCACCCTGGCTGGAGGCTGACGTGGGTTTGGCAGGGGATAGCTGCCAGTGCTGCAGCCCGGCTCAGCGCTTCTGCGCTGGGGGGCGAGTGCGGCACATGTGGCACATGTGAGCTCAGTGCGGGCAGAGATTGATTTGCACAAGCTGCCTGAGTATAAAAAGGCCAAGGCCGTGCAGCTTGCGAAGCCTCTGCGCCTGGCAGAGAAGCAGAAGGCTCTGTGTGTCGGCAGCAGATAGCAGGCGGAGGTGCAGCACGCTGAACCGCAGCACCGGGGTAAGTGTGCTGTGAATTGAGACTGCAACATGTGTTTTCTTGGGAATTACTGCACTGTTGGCAGGTGATATAAGTTGCCTGCTATTGTATCTGATTTGTGTTTGCCAAACAGCATTAAGCACGTTATCTCTGCCCAGCAGGTAAGGTTTCAAAGCTGGCAAATGTCTGCTCTGGGAGAGGTAAGTATTAATACCTAGAAATTTATGCATTAAGGCTCATGAGACACTTGCTCTGCTGGAGAGCAAATCCAGCTGGGAGAAAGCTTGGTGCATCAAGACTGGGTTTGTCTCTGCTGAAATCTTTTGGCTGCTTCTGTCCCTTGGTGCTTCCCGTTGGTTTGAGCTGCTGGTAGGGCTGAGGCTGTCCCTTCTGGGGATGCATTTCTCCCGTGAGCGTGTGGCAGGCGGCTCTGGCTGCCTTTACCAGGCGGCTCACGGTGAAGCTGTCACTGAACGCGGGGGATCACTGGTGTGACTGTGCTGGTTACAGGAGCCCCGGTAGGAGATCTGCTGAAAGAGGTGCTGTCTTAAACATCAGCGAATGCAAACAAGCTGCTATTGTAGGCTGTAGTTATAAATATCAGGCTATTATGGAGGCAGTTTTAATGAACGAAGTGACTTGCCACTATTCATTCTGATTGTCGCGTGGGCTTTTGTTTGTTACCCCATTAAGAGGTAAAAACCCAGCAACTGTAGCTTCTTTGTGTCCTTTAGAGTGGCTTTCTCTGTCAGTACTGCAGCACTAGGGCTCCAGAGGTGATGGGGCAGAGATTGTTCTTGCAAACAACACTTTGCTCTGGTTGGAAATGAAAAATTACAATGGAGCTGACAGAGTCTGCGGCCTTTTTTCAGAGCCATAAAATCTAAACTTCCAGCCTTGTCTTAATGTAGTATCAGAAGGTATTTATTGGCTTATATTTCATGAGGATGATGGTGTGTTTTTACTGCTGTCTGTGGGTGCGAGTCAGTCAGCTTCCAGCGAGCGTGACGCCGGCAGATCACCTCCGTCGTGTTTGCTGGGAACAGCATCCCTTGGGGACGACTGGTGGAGCTGTGCCAGCCGCAGCCCTGGGCTTCCCTGCTGCACTTCATGCTGGTGTTTGCTTCTTACAGGTGTGACCCTGCCTCCTCCCAGCCCAGTGCCATGGCCGACACGATTTTTGGCAGCGGGACGGGCCAGTGGGTGTGCCCCAATGACCGGCAGCTGGCTCTGCGTGCCAAGTGAGTCTCCATCCTCTCCTTCCAGCCTCCAATTAGTGTTGTGGGGCAGCAGCCTCATCCGCAGCCTGGCTGTGAGGCAGGAGTTGCTGCCTGTCACACAAACCCCTCTGCACCATCAGGGTGAGCTGCGTGGATGGGGCAGGAGCCTGCTAAGCTGGGGCTTGGTGCTCTGGGAGTCCATCAGTCTGTCCCACCAGCCCTTCCTGGGATGAAAGGAAGGGCTTGGAGACAGGCTGTATCCCTGCACCACCCTATATATAACGGGGAGCATCCCCCAGCTGCCAGAGCTCCTTTGTTTTAGGAATTTGTCATTTGATCTCATTTTCCACTGAAGTTCAATTACCACATGACCTAAAGACAAGGGGATGGAGGTGAGTCGAGCACTGGAATTGCATTTGTTTCTTGGATGCTTTCCTTCTCCAGCAACCAGTGCTCTGTCCCTGCCACCTCTGCTCCTGGCTGAACCTCTGGGGTCAGCCTGCTGCAGGGTTTTGGAAAATATGGGATCACCCAGTGTCAGAGGGGGGCACTGGCTGAGTGGGAGCGGTGTGTGCCACCGCCACTTCTCCTGCCTTCACCTGAAAGCCTCATTAAAACAGCTGTGCCTGATTGTGCCCTGGTTTCTGCTGGCAAGCATGAGTTTATCCAGTGACCTCTAAACCCCTACTGAATGGTAATTAATTGAGCTGTGAAAGCTCCCTCCCGTCCCCAAGCGAGCTGAGGAGAAATGTCAGCTGTTCTGCACGGGCACGGAGGGAAGTGGCTTGCCACAGTGTTCCTGCAGGCCTGGGGTAGACCAAGGAAGGAAGTTTCCAAATTTCTGTTTATTTCCAGGTATGCCTGGTGATTCGTGTGCTTGAACTGAGGCCCTTAGGAACACGGGATCTGGAGGGAGGAGGGTGCAGGTAGTCCTTGTGCTCCGGAGTCGCTGCAGGGCATTTGTGGTGTCTGGCATCAGCACCATCTCTGCAACGACACCCCCGAGGCAGCCTAGCCCTAGGGGGACCAGATTTCATTTTGGACAGTCAAATGGAGGGAGGACATGGAGTTGTAGAGGGAAACTGGGTTGTAGAGGGAAATGAAAGGGCAGGGAAGGAGGACCAGCGCTCATTGCTGCTGGAGGAGTGTTGTGGTGGGCTGGTCAGTGAGAAGAGACTCCCGCTGTGGGTGTTAGCCAGGGAACAGGCTTGCCTGATGGAAGGCTGGCGTACACCCCGTGTGCCGGGCAGGTTTGGCCTGTGGGACGGGGCAGGGGTTTTGTGCTTTCCTTTCACAACTTAATTCCTCCCTCCGCCCCTTCCCGCAGGCTCCAGACAGGCTGGTCAGTGCACACGTTCCAGACGGAGAAGCAGAGGAAGATGCAGGCTCTGAGCCCGCAGGAACTCGAGGTCATTCTGGAAGTCATCCGCAAGGCAGAGAAATTGGACGTCGTCGAGCAGCAGCGCATAGGGTATAGTCACGTTCGTTTGTCCCCTTCCTTCAGAGGGAAAGGTCAGAGCAGATGGAGAAGTGGCTCTCTTGGCTGCCTGAGCTCAGCCTCCATCAGTCAGAGCATCCCTTAGGTCAGTTTTTTTCCTACTCCCATGTTGCTTGTTTGGAGGTGATGAACGTTAGGAAGGATGTAATTTAGTTTTTTCCTTCTTCCCACGTCGCAGGCCTTTCTCATGCCTTCTTTGAGCCTTGGGACTTCTGTGGTTGCAGCCACTGACACAGTCCCTGGTAAATGCAGCCTGTGCTAAGGCAGCTGCCCTGGGGGCTCTGGAAGAGGCTTGGGGAGACGCCAAGCTGTGCAGCTGCACCCACTGCTGGTGGACGGCACAGCTCAGAGACCATTCCTGGCAGTGCCTTAGGTTTTCCCTTGTCCACAGCAGCCCCCTGGGATTTTGCCTGGAGCAGTGAATGGGTTTGTGTTCTACTTGGCTGAGTTCTCTGGATGGGGTTTGTTAGCCTGAATTATTTGATTTACAGGCATCCTTCTCCTTTTTGCTGCTGCAGATTTCTATTTGCTTTCAGTCCTGCTGGAGATCTGGCCTCGGCTGTGTCTGTGCTTGACCTGCGCTGACGGTCTTTAAAGCAGGAGAGTTTGGCTGTCCTGCAGCATTGCCCAGCGGGGTTTATGCTCACCAGGCACGAAGCCTCGGTGACTCCCAGCCCAAGCCCAGCAGGCCCAGCTCCATGCCCCTGTGCTCAGCTCTGTCCCTGCACAGTGCACGTTAGTGCTGGTGAGGATGAGCGATGTTTGTGTGCTGCGTGGGGGACCCCAGCAGCCCTGGAAGCAGCCAGCGACCCCGAGGGGCTGATGGCTCCTGTGCTGGTGTAGCTGTGCACAGCGACAGCCCCGCTGTTCCCCTGCTGAAGCGTTCTCCGAAATGCCTGTGTTAACTCCAGGGGGTTCTCTTGTGCTGAAGTCAAGGATCATAAATCCGGTAACGACGGCTCAGCCTGGCTGTGCGGTCTGACCTCGGCACCGCGGGCAGTGCCTCTTCCAAACAGACCTTGCCCTCCTCGCAGCGCGGGGCTTGGCTGGTGGGACATTAGCACTAATGAGAAGGGGGATGCAAGGATAACAGGACCGAGCCACGTGGCTGCGGCTGGTTGCTGCCTCTGAGAAATGTTTGGCTGTTTGTCATCCTCCCCGCCGACAGACGATGCCTGACAATGGCCTCGCAGCGATCTCACGACAGCAGCCTCACTCTGCACGCCCTCCGCATCTCGCTTCCGAATCGCCTGTCCCTCCTTCCTTCCCTTCCGTGGTCCTGCTGCTGTGGACGTTGTGCATACAATATGTGCTTCCTGTCTTCCAAGCAGGCTGTCGAACGAAGCAGGGGGTAGTTGCTGGCATTCTTGTACCGTAGCCAGGCTCATTTTGGTCTGATGGCTTCGGTCTGGCCTTCCTGCTTCTAATGAGGTGTAAGTCGCATGCCTGCAGTGCTGCTTTCAGGGAGGGCATGTGAAAACAGAGCAGGGCTTGGCAGGTCTCACTGTCTAACTCCTCTGCCCTTTCCATGTGCTGACTTGCCCTGGTCTGAGCACTGAACCCTTTTCCTGCTCCCCAGGCAGGAAATCACTGTGCTGAGACCGTGCTGCCGAGGTGGCACTGAGCTCCTGAAGGGTGCTGCATGCCTTTCTTGTGAGCCGTCTGCCCTGCGCCCACTGGCTGAGCCGTGCCTGCAGTGGTGCTCCCAGTTTTGCTTCTCCTGGTCTCAGTGAGCACCAGCAGATGGACTGACAGGGGTTTTATTCCCTGAAGACCAAGAGCCAGCTACTAGGAAACACTGAGCGCAGAGACTGAAGCGAGGGTACGTACGGTCCCAGCAAGGGGCTCCGAACTCCACGAGAAGGCTGAACCTGGAGCACACACCTGCAGGTTTTTGGCACAGCTTCCTCCTGTAGATCTGAGATTGCCACAGAGCCGTTCTGCAGTGCCCAAGGACCTGCTGTGACCTCTGCCTGGCCTTGTTCCCTGCAGGCGCCTGGTGGAGCGGCTGGAGAACATGAGAAAGAACGCGATGGGAAACGGCCTCTCCCAGTGCTTGCTCTGCGGGGAGCTGCTCGGGCTGCTGGGGAGCACCTCGGTCTTCTGTCAGGACTGCAAAAAGGTGGGTTTGCTCACAGGGGTTCCTGCCTACTCCTGGTAGCAGATCTGGCCAGGCAAGGCCACCGGGGCTCTTGGAAGGGAGATCGCTCTGTGGAGTTAACTTATCTTAGCCCTGCTTGACCGGGTTGGTGCTGTCAAGCCACATGGTTTTTTCTTTTTACCTTATTTCTTGTGATCCTAAAGTGCCTAAACTGCACTTACTGCTGAGATGGCGTGCATCAGCCGGGTAGATCCTGGCGTTCCAGAGAAAGGGCAGAAATGTGCGTCTGTCAGAGGCACCTGTAGAAGTGTCTGTGCCTTACTGCTCCTTCCTGCAGGGTCTGCCCTTAGACCTTCCAGTAATGTGTTTCTACAGGGGACTCAAACCCATCTTTAAGTTCCAAACCAGTGTAAGGTTTCCAACCTCAATGATACATAAATTACCCTGTGCATCAGTGACTGTGTGTGTCATTGGCAGGACTGCACAGGTGTTGTTTGTAAGGGAGCACAGGCATGTAGGGAGACCTACATAATGTGTAGGTCCTACATAACATCCTACATCCCTGTGGGATGATTATTGCTCGTCTGGGCTCCCCGACAAGCAGGGGTTAAACTGCATTGCTGCGGAGATGAGGATCTCCAAGGCAACCACCTTATCCTCCCTCTGCTGGGAGGCTGCTTCTTCTGCACTTGAAGCCCATCCTTCCCTGGGGAGATGTCTGTGCGAGTGCTCAGAGCAGTGCCTGGGGAGAGGTGAGGGTACCAGTGGGTGCAGGAGTGCTTCTGACTGGTGTCAGGGTGGGAGGGAGCAGCCTGGTGGCCCTGCTGGGCACCAGAGCCAAGGGGACACTTGCTGGTTCCACCCACCCCATCACTGCGGAGTTGTCCCATGGAGTCTGCAGGGCAGCACTGAGTAAATCCCACGTCTTACCACGCAGGGGTGTGTGCTGGCAGCTCTGTGCTTAAGCAGCTGTGCAGGCTGTGATGGAGAACCTGCTGTGCTGGTGGAGTTGGTGAGCTGCAGGTCCTGCAGGCAGCACCGAGGGCCCAGCAAAGGGGAGCTGCAGGGCAACTCTCTCGGAGGGGAGCACGGGCTCTGTGCAGACGTGTCTGTGGACAATAAAGGGCTGCCTGGCAGACAGGAGGCGGCAGGCTGTTTCCTGCATTTCAAGCATGCAGAATAACAGGATGTGCTGTATTCCTGCCTCCTTCCCCTGGCGATTCTGCTCTCACCTTGTCTGAAGCCAGCTAGGTCATGGTGCTGCAGCACTTCCTAACCTCCTTCCTGCAAGCCCCGCACACTAGCACGTGGAGGCAGAGCTGCTGCAGACCCTGCCCTGCTCTGCCCCTTTGCAGTTGCAGGAATAACCCCTAGAGCTAGCGAGGCTGGGAGTGCCTGAGGCTCCTGGGGGGCTGTAACCAGAAAGACCCAAAGAAGAGCTGGTTCTTCTTGGGTTTTAGTTGGTTTTGGGGTAGGGTTTTTTTTTTCATTGTTCTCTTTTTAGTCTGTTGGACAGTTCAGGAGGATTCACATCGAGGTTGACTTAAGGTGAGATCCTGTTTTTCCCAGTGTGCGTTTTGCAGCTGCTTTCAGCTTGGCTGCGCTTCTCTGCCGTGTGCGAGCTCAGGGCAATGGTGAGTGGGTGCCCTGGGCTTTTCCCCTTCCTGCTTTGTAACGCAGTGGTGTGAACCCAAAAACAGTCGATCCCTAAGCAGAGCACACAGAGGGGGCTGTTACTTTAAGCTTGTCCCCAATCCCCAGGGATATCCATCACTTGTGCAGCGTTGAACGCGATAAGCAATGACTTGTCAGGGAATTATGGATTTTTAAAGTTCATATTTTTCTTGCTTTCTTGTTACCATCTCATTGGAAAGTCGTTGCGGCCCTTTTAGCTCAATAACAGGGATTGCTGTAACGATACATCTGAAATATAGCAGAGGGCTTACCTTCTGCAAGTCCCTTCTGCTGAATAGAGGCTCGATAGCTCTTGGAGCCTGATGGATTTCCTAAGTGCCACTTTCTGTTTTAGCATTTATAGGTCAAAATGAAGAATGATTTTAATATTGGGTTTTATTATCTTAGAAATAAATGCATTATGGCAAGACAAAGATGTATGCAAATACAGACGTGTTAACAATAGCAGTAGTCAGATGAAGCATAATGTGCAATTTACCATGCAGAGGGTATCAGGATCATGTATAAAAGGTGAAAGAGAAGTAGGAGAAGAAAGATATCTTGTATTTAATGAAGAACAGGGCTGTGTTTAGCATCTTTGATTTTTATGTCTTCTGAGGGGTTGTGGGTGATACTCGATTTCCCGGCTAGTCTGCAGGGAAGGGGAGGAAGAGAGCCCAGTTTTGTGTTGGAGCTTTCAAAATTTATGGCTAGGAGGAAAGTTGTTGGGAAATTTCCACTAGGGGGAGTGTTTGAATGTGCTATATGTGGGGACTGGGATCTCTGAGGGTATTTACGACTGAGTTACTCCCTCAGGTTTTGGTCTCAGAAAGGGAGAATTTGGTGCATTTCAGAAGGTGCCTCCTAACTGCGGCACTATCTTCTGCTTGCATCTGCAGTCCCTCTTGGCTTGGGTAGCACCATCTTGAATATCGATATGCACCAGACCAAACAGGTTGTTTCTTATTTCTCTGCCCTTCCTGAAAACCTGTAGGCATCCCAGCCAAAACGCCATTAAAGTGCCCGTTGGGATGCAGACAGAGCAAAAGCCTTGACAAAAGCCATCTGTTGAGCTGTTAGCAGAACCGAGAGCTCTGCCTCTGGGCTGCGCTGACCGAAATATTTGGGTGTGTTTGCTCATGCAGTGAAGCCATTCCTCAGGTGCTGTCTTTCTGTTGCTCTCCTCCTCCAGGCGTGGGCACTGAGGGCTAAGTGAGCACCGAGCCTTCATCCCGCAGAGCAGAGCTCCTGGCTTCTAGGGGGAGCAGCCTTGGTGGGGAGATGGGTGAAACCCAGCTGGGGGGAGTAAATTGTCTCCCTAAGCAAGCTGTTGCTCTCCAGGGCCCTCTTGTGAGTGGATTTTTCTCTGTGAGGATCAAAGCATTCATCCCATTCCTAATTCAACTGCAAGCCAAGCCTGATACCCATCAGCTTCATTATATAAAAATTAGGTGATTCGGGTTGTAAATGGCTTATAATGCCAGCAGAGACGTGGAAGCTCCCTCGTGCAGGGATGGATGCCGTGTGGTGCTATCAAGCATTCTGCTCAGGAAACGTGCACGTAGGCACGGTCGTGCCCGCTCCCTAAGCAGCCACAAATCAATAGCTGCCAAGAGCTTGCCGAAATGGAGGGGAAGCCGTGGGGTTTCAGGCAACGTGTGTGAGGGAAGGGAGGGGAGGATTTACAGTCCTGCACAAACTCGTATTCGTTTTGTGCTTGGTTACAGCTGCTTTCTGTGCCACAGTGACTGGGCTTTCAGATTTAGAATAATAATAATAATAAAAAAAAAAACACTCCAGAAATATCTATTTGTTGTGTGGCTTGATCTGCGCTGTCCAGTTCTCTCCTCACCCTGGAGGCAGGGACCGTGCAGTAGATTTGCCTTTGTTTTAACATCCTTATCGACCTGAAGCAGCTTCTTAGGATCCACGTATCTCTGGGATAAATAACAGAATTGTGCCATGCTTAATATTGGTAAGGAAAGCAAACCAGAACTGTTGGGACAGATGCTTCTCAGCCTTGTCTTTGCTGGAGGCTATATGGCTGTGGGGAGCTGCTCACACCACCCTTTTCTTTTCTCTCCTTGTTTCAGAAAGTTTGCACCAAATGTGGCATAGAAACCTTTGGAACCCAGAAACGCCCCCTTTGGTTGTGCAAGATCTGCAGCGAACAGAGAGAGGTAAAATTTAACTGTGGAGAGGAGGGGCTCAGCAGCACTCAGCCACCTGCCCTGGGTCTGTGCTGAGTGTGCATGGGCTCCTCCCTCTGCCTGGGTATGGGGTGGGGAGGTTTGGATATAGGGTTTGGGAGGCTCAGCTGATGCACACAATGGTGATAACTTTGGTTTGTGATGTTATGGAGGGGAAAAAAAACAACACAGCCCCTCTAGCCTGTGTTGTTTTTTGTTTGTTTGTTTGTTTGTTTTCTAGCTATGGCTGTAAGGAGACTTACCTTTTGCTGCTGTTTTCCTCCGAGCTTTGTGGCAAATAAACTTGGCTAACGCTGGTTCTTTAATACAGCGGGAGAGATCTATAGCCTAGCTTCAATATTTGTCCCTCTAAAAATAACCAGGATTGCAGCTTTTAACTCTGTTCCCCCCCCACCTCCCCCTGCCTGTCAAATCCCATAACTTGCCAGCATGTGAGACTTCTGATGCAGGTCTCTAAATTTTTGTATCCTTTATCCTTGACTTTACACTGCAAAAAGTAATGGCCTGCCTCAGTTCTTGTCTGCCAGCCAGCATCCACCAACTTCAGGCTTGCTGCTGTGCTGTGAAGCCGGTGAATTTGTTCAGTGATTACAGAGGGACTTTCACTTGTTCCCATCAATTTATTTTGAGCTTTTGCTTGTGGTCCTTGAACATCAATCCAGTGCAGCTATTCCTGACCACTGCAACCAACTGTGAAACCTGGGTGCTCTGCTAGATCCATCAATTTTGGAAGTGCAGTGAGAGCGTTTCTGCAGGTGTTTGAGATGGTGAATGTTTTTGTATTAGTTGTGGAGATTTAGCGTTGCTTGGGTTTTAAGTAGGAGGGGATTATCTGCGTGCGAGTACTTGCAAAATTCCTGTTTGGGTAAGATGATGGATGCTGTCTGTAATTTTTGAGTGGCAATGTGACTAGGGCAGGCAGAGAGCATTCGAGCTCTCTGGCTATTGCTAATAATTTGATGCACTGAATCATCCAGGTGTTTTGAAATCCAGACAGCAGTCCCAAAGTGGAGAGTGTGGCAGGTCAAGGCAGTTTCCATGTCCTGTGGGGAGATGGGTATGGGGCTGAGATTGACTTCATTTCTTTTTTTCTGTTCTTGTATTTTTTCTCATCCCACAATGTATAATTGCCTTTTTTTTTTTTCAATTTCTTATAAAAATAATGAGGAGCCATGGTCACTGGACAAAGAAGAACATTAACCTGTCCAGTAAGTGTTACGTGCGGTCAGTGTGTGAGGGAACGGTAACCTTCAGAGATCCCTCTCTCCGTGAGTGCTGAGATACAGCCGACGTGCTTCTCTAATGAAAATGGATGGAACTTTCCCTCGGAGACTACCTAAAAAATAGCCTCATCTTACCTCACAACCCTAAACTTCATCTTTATTTTTTTTTTCTTGATTCGTTTAAAGGTCCGTTCAGGTCTGTCTCCTTTCCTGTTTGTGGTGGTGCTGGTGCTCTGACCAGAGATGTACGTGATGTGTGGGTACTGATCCAGTTTTGTTTCCTGGGATCCAGACGGGAAGCTTCAGGAACCCTCCCAAACCCTTTGTGTTGATGCAATAACATCACCAGCAGCCACTCTCACCTTTCTTCTCGCCCTTTCTCAATGCACAGCACGGTAATGAAGCAAAGTTCTCCTTTAGCCCATGCTAATGAAGTTCATGCTTAAAGCAGGCTTGTCCCAGGCTGCAGGGCTCAGGCAGTGCCTCCCAGCTTGCAGGGCCATGCTCAGGGCCCTGGCCTTGTCCAGCTCTCGTGGGTGAGTGTCTGATGCTGGTCTGGCGCGGAGGTGGCGGTAATTGGTGTGGTGTTCCCTGCCAGGAAGAGATGTGAGCCCCCAAGCAGGTGTGAGGAGATGTGATGTTTCCAAGGTAGGTGATTCCTGCCGCATCAGGGCCGTGTTTGCAATCTGTAATTTTCTGAACCACTGCCCTGGCTATTTGGGCATGATATTTATGAAGCTCTCAACTCTGTTACCGAGAGACTGCCAGGCAGTGAAGTGAGATCGGGAGGTCATTCAGAAACCTGGGTGGACTAAATGATGTTGGCTAGAGTTAATGAGTGTCGTCTGGCTGGGACAAGAGCCTGGGACTGAGATTGTCCCCTTTAACCCTTGCTGTGCACTGAGTGAGCAACTGAGTCTTGTGGTCCACCAGGATGTAAAGCCAGCGTGGTGGGGTTGGACATTCACATACAGCAGCTAACAGCCAAAGTGTGCAGCATCGTGCACACGTGCTAAAGCTCTCATCCCTCCATCCTCCTTGGTATTATTTATCCCCGTAAGCTTGAAATTTTACTGAAAATGCAGTGGTGTGGTCATCTTCTTTGCTCCTTTGCTGTGTGGACAAAATCTGTGCTGGCTTCAGTCATGAGTAAATCGTCCGTGTGTGCCTAGGCCAAAATGAAGACCAAGGAGCAAGCTATTGTTTACAGCAGTTTTTCAGTGGAGGTTGAATGCTTGATGCCCACAGATCCCGTCGGGAATCCCAGCCTCAGCCACTCAGAAGTGTTCTTTGCTGCTTTCTGTTTCCTTGAAAACCTCCGCTGGGAAGGCTGTGCTGCATAGCAATGAGCAGCAAGTTGCTCTGACACTGTCTCGTTGCTGGAGAGTGGAGGTGATTAATGGATTCTGCCTGCTGCTAGCGTCCCAAGCATCCAGAAGCAAAGCAGCGTGTTTGGCAACGCTGGGGCTGCCCAGCGTGCTGTGTGCCTGCAGGGTGGGGGTCTCCAAGCTGCCAGAGGTGTGGAAGGAGGAAAGTATGGTACTAAAATATCTCTGGGACCTGACAGAGCCTGGGTGCTTCTCCAGGCAAAGGGAACAGCGGACACCCCTGGGTGATTAGCGCATCTCTTCCTACTGAAATAAGATAGACCTGATCTGCTTTAAGCCAGGACTGGCTTTTTGGAGATGGCATTTGTCCCATCTCTTTACAGAGGCACCTACTATAAAAAAAACACTTTTGTTCTTCCAGGTTTCTGTGGACATTTTCCTTTACATCTTCTGAGTGAGGTGGAGTTAAAACAGGTGTGGATTGTGTTTTATTGCTTATGCAAGTGAGACTAGGAGCAAATTCAGTCATGCTCGCATTTACTTTCAAGGGCAAGAACCTTCCTTCTTCCCTCCCTGATGTACTGCATTGCCTTCCTCGGCTTGGCATCTCGTGTGGCCTTCCTGGAGACTGAACGTGGAGGGCCAGTGGGCTGATTCTCCCTGGAACAAGGCCTGGTAGTGCATGCACATGAAATCCTGTGGCACGACTGGGGAGGCTGATCCCTGACTGCAGCAAACACTGGCCACGGGTTTGTAGCAACAGGTATAAAGCAGGAACGATTCCCTGCTGCCAGGCCTCTGGCAGGGCACGTGAGCAGGAGAACAGCTTGGGCAGCAGTGCCCAACGTTGAATCAGTGGCGTGTGGCTGAACTCTGTCATCACCTTCTGCCCTGCAGCGTTGTGTCAGATCCCTGCCCGCCCATCTAACTCTGCACAGTCTTGTTTTGACTGATACCACCAGGTTGTGCAAAGCGCCTCCCTGAATTACCACTTTATATATATGTATTTTTTTTATATATCCATAATTAGCGATGCTATCATCGTAATTAAAATCCTCTTGGAAGCGTTCATGCACATTTACATTTGAATTGACACATCCAAAATTGTAGTGATAATGAAAACAGTTAAAGTAGGGTGGGGGGAGATAAATAGCTTTTTTTAAACCCCATCAAATATGAAAGAGCATGTCAGCTATCAGGGACCTGCTAAAGTTTTAATTTGCCCCCTCTGCTTCACTTTCCCTTTAATTTCTTCTCCGCTAAATGACATTTTCATGGCTGGCTGCATTTCTTGGTTTATCAAAATAAACCATGCAGAGGAAGAAGCTTACCGTGCTGGAAGAATGGAATTGTCTCCTCCCTTTTTTGCCCCCAGGGCTTCCCTTTTCGCATGTACGCTCATACCATTTTGAACATTATAAACCACCATAGCCCAGGGTTATTCCTGCCTGGCATGATGATTTCTTGGCAAAATACCGTGCTGATGGAGGGGAGTGTTTATTTTGGGTGACTCTGGATTGAATCGAAGTGATGTGCACCTGTTTGCAATTCAGAGAACTCATCAATAGCCTAGCATATTATTTTGGGGGGTGGTAGCAAGCAGTTAGCCTCAAAATAGTGTCCTCTAGAATAGAGCCCCAGGAAAAAAAAGAGGCCTGATTGAGAGGGGAATGATAAATCGTTGAAGGCTGGCAGCCACTGCAGCTTGAGAAACGTTGGGGTCAGAGGTGCAATACATTTTGCTATTCCGGAAACAAAGCTCCGAACGGCAATTTCACTGCCTTTTAATTTTCTTCATCCTCAAGTGCTGAATGTGGGAGTTGACAACAGATTGCTGTAAATAATGTAATTGGAAATCTCTGTGTTATGGAAAAGCAGATGAATGCAAATAACGAAGCCGAGGAGCGCTCGCTCTTTTTTCCCAGCCAGTGGTTTGCAGCGTGCCAGAGCCGCGGCGTGGAGCTGGGACAAAGTGAGCTCGTGGGTATGTGCTGCGTGAGGGCAATGGCAACAAAGTCCTCTCCAAGAAGCTGCCTTTGCAGGTGCCTTTCTCTTCATCGAGTGTAGAGCCCACGAGAACTTGCTCCCTGAGGCTGAGGGATGGAGCTGATAGCACTTTTGTCGGCATGGGAAGCTGAAGGTGGCTCTTTTCCTCTTGCACAGCCCAACCTGGGCTGCAGAATGATACAGCTGCTGCGTGGTGAGCAGTGGAGGGGAGAGCAGAGTTTGGCTCTGCTGGAAGAGGCTTTCCAAGGCTCTCTGTCTGGGGAACTCATGGCTCGGTGATGCTGACTGCTGGGGGGCTAGCAGCAGCTGGCTGGAGGGGCCGCAAGTGCTCGTTACGATTCCTCTCTCTCAATCAGTGAGTCCTAATGTTGTCTCTGATTAGGAGCTTGTTTTGGCACTTCTGTGCTCAGAG